GAACTTTCCTCTGCATCTGTTATGCATCTGTCTCACACACACACACAACCATCTGAAACATGCACAGTGCGCAGAAAGGTGGGTATAGGATGGGGGGGTAGCATATATATATATATGCTATAATACTGTATATATGGTATTATATGTTATTATGTATATTATGTAATATACATTACCGTATATATGGATACCGTGGAGTCTAGACTCTAGACCATTTACGATCGTGTCTCAGGAGCGATTGGATTGCTGCCGTGGGGCCCGGGCGGGGAGCCTTCAGAACCGCTGGGGATCTTCAGAGGCGAGATATGAGCGTTGCTGTGCACTTTTGGTCATTCCTGGGTCCCTTCCCTATCTGTTTCCCAGAGCAGAATAGAATGACAACATGTTCTTTTCCACATGTAGACGGCCTTCCAGCTCTGGACATGTTCTACCCCACCATAATATGTATGACGAGACTGCTCGTTGACCTCAAAGGCATTTCGACATTCCAAGGACACAAGGGTACCGGTACATGCTGATGATGAGCAATATCTGCCAAATACATCCAAACTGTTACAGCGGTGTAACTGCACCAAACCAGGTTGGTTGGTTTCATATCATCTCCAAGTGACCGAAACGATCCTGCTCCACAATCACCAGAGTGCGCGTCGACAGATTTCGAACTCGAAAGGGCCATGGCACACCGGACATCTTCGATCGAAAGGAGTCTAGACGAGACTGCACTGACCCTGCCCACTTCATACACATTTCAAACGGGTGCTTTTAAGTTCTCCTACATCCTGTGGTTTATCATGCTCCAGGATTTATTGTCGAAGAACACTGCAACAGCAAACTACGGTCATAGAGCCAGGCTGGCTAGGCTTGGTTCTACTCTGAGCATGAAGCCCGCGTGTATCACTTGATCGCCAAAATGAACGGGAAAGAACTCACAAGCCAAAGGTCCAGAAATACAGTACTGTAAGTATTGGCAAACATGATCTCAAACTTCAAACTTCACCATCAGGGGCGCTTGCGCCAACCCCTGGACGTTCCCCACACCCAACCAAAAACAAGAGAAGACCACCCAGTGGTTACTCCCAAACCTGAGACATTGGAGCGATCGACCTTGGAAGAAGCCCGAGCCAAACCGTTTGCATAGTGTCTTCCTTTTCTGCCGTCCAGTGCAGGCGAAGGTTGCCACCTGGCGAAGGGAAGTTGCAGGGCCTGGTGATGTGCTGACTAATAAGAAAGCAACACATCAAACAACTTAATGATTGATGGCATTTTTAGCTTGGCCATATTTTCACGCCACCACTGCTAGTTGTGCACAAACTGACGGCACTGCTCAAATGGATGAACTATCAACTTTTAAGTATACCTGGACCTTCCAACGTGCTCATAATCTTTGACCTTGCTGCTTTTGAGCCTCTTTTCAGGACCTCGTATTCATAATCCAAGTTCGTACTTGAAACACACAAAACGACCACTTTTCGGGTCTTAAAGCCTTAAGGTGTCATTAGTGATGTGTGTGAAATGTGCACGCAGCCCTCAGTGAAATCAGAGCCTCAGCGGGAGGCTTCAGGTGAAGGGAAAATAGCTGAAAGGAATATGATACCACTTTGGTGGGAAACAGATCTTTCATGATGTGTATGGGTCGCAAGATGTTTCTCAGTCCATGGTACAAAAAGTGTGGGCCGTAGCCATAGTGGTGCACCTTTTGGCCTCCACAAGTTCATGGTCGTTTGCTTTGGTACTCCTGGCTTGATTACTTTCAGAAGCTTGCACCATGCATGCATCGAAAGCCCGTGTACACGATTGTTTCCTGTGCACATCTGTGCATTCCAGCTCAGTGGCTCGAAGGTCTAGGTGAGTGTGCTTAGGTTGTCGTGCACACCCATCATGGCTAATAATGATATGCATCCAGTGGTGCAAGCTTGGGAGCAGGTTCGGTGGATCGTAGAGCGCGGTGGATGCGGAGAATTGGTGCTCTGGAGATCCAAGAGCCAAGAAGATGGAGACTTGACGAGAAAGGACTTACTTATCAACAAGGACATCATTGGCCCGATCCTGAACCACATGGGTAACTTGTTTACATCAGACTGCTTTCTTGTTCAAAGTGTATAGTCGTAGTCACCTGACTACCATTACCATGGGATACCTGATACCCTGATACCTTATCTTTGCAGGTACTCGACCTTCGGTCACCGCCATCGTCCCCATTGTGGAGGAGTTCTTTTGGCGCCGCAGGGGTATGCTGAAGCAACCCATGAAGAGCTCCTAAGTTTATATACGGAGGCTTCATGTATAGGCATTGCAAGGTGCAATTTTTAATGCAATTGTTCTTACACCCCGGCTCCGCCGTATCTTGTCTTAGGCTCTGACCATCGACTCCAAGCATGGGCTTTGAGGCGATTGGTCTCCGTCTTCAGCAGATGTGCGAGGAGGCCTCATGTGCCGAGGGAGCAGGCAATGAGGGACCTCTACGTTGAAGCAGGGATACCACTTGATAATGCAGTTGCAGGACCCCAGAAATCAAAACACATGTCACATGCACAGTGTTTTTCTTAGATATATATGTTGCATTCGTGTACTTTTGGGCCTTCAGGAGACACCAATGAAACCGCCACAGCTGAGCCTGATGAATGCGATGTTGATGAGTGGGATGAGGGTGAAGGTGAAGAAGAAGATAATCTAGAGCACGATCCCACAGTTGAAGTCGAGGAAAAAAAGGACCCAACCCTGCAATTGAATTTGTAGAACCCAAAAGGTATTAAAACATATCACTCCTGACTTCCAGGATTCCGTCCCTGCTCTGGGATCCAAGCGGGATGCTGATGCTCCTTCTGTGGTACAACCTGAAGGCAGGCGAAGCTCAGTGCGATGCCCTGTGTTCACTTACCTGTCGCATGATGTGCAGTGTTGTGTACAGGCACTCCCAAAGCTCTTGCCTCTCCAGACTCGAGCTTCTAGGTGGCATTTACAGTTTAAAGATCCCCAATGAAATCAAGTTCTTGACCATGATATATATATATATATATAGTTCTTTGACTCATATTGTCTTCAGGAAGCCCATCATTGATGTCCCCTACATCATCGGCAGCATCGTCCACGATGTCAGAAACACCAGTGGAAGTTGGCCGACACTATCTTCGGATGCTGGCATCTGGGTTTGAATGTATTCAGTGCGGTTTGTCGGCTGCTGATGTTCAAACACTACACGACGTCCCTTGCAAAGCTTCTGTTCAGTTGGAGTTGCACTATCAAACCCAGAAGCTGTTTCGCTTGAAGCAGCTACAGTTGCAAGAGCAAGAGTTGATGAATAAGCTCATTGACCGCACACCCTCTCCGACCGTCTCGGATCCCGTGCCTACTCCTGCTACACAGGGGCCATGCCGATGCCTGAGACATCATCAATGATTTGTCCAACATCTTTGTGAATCTTTTTTTACACAGTGTGCGCAGTATGTCGTGTATATATGTGCAATTATTATACGCTCAGGTCCTGACGATGTGGAAACACAGCTCTGGTGCCCGGCTGGCACGGAGAATGGAGAACCCTCGCATGAAACAAAGCTGGGCTGTCCTGAGATGCCAAAGCCTGAAGATCATGGAGCAGTGGGCCATGTCCCTGAGTTGGGCGTTCGGTTGCCCTTCTCCAAGGATTGGCCTCGCCAGCTGGAACGCATCCTGGAGGAGTCTGGTATGAAAGAAGCACTGGAGCACTGTGCCGTCTATGGCAACCAAAATGAAAGTTTCCTTTTCACTCCTTATGGTTCTTTGGAACGTTCGCCCAGCCTGAGACAGTTTCCTCTTCGGGTGATCTTCAAGCCCAATGTTTCCAAAGAGGTCTTTGTCATGGAGGGTTTTGGCTTGAACGAGAGCCCCATTGAGGAGATTGAGGCCAAGATTAGATTGAAGCTGGGCGTTTCTCTTGTGGTTGCACCTTCAGCGCCAGAAAATGGCGATGCACCAGCGAGCAAGGTGGAGGAAAACTTGGCACCACCAGCAGGAGAGATGAAGGAAGAGGCAGGAGAGCTGAATAGTCCAACCCCCTTGAATACGCAGGCTTCTTCTACTGATGTGGAGGTGGTTGAAGTGGATCCGCAAGAGCAGCAGGCTGAAGAGCAATGCCCGGAAAAGGCAGTGATTGAATTGCCTGACAGCCCTGACGCCAAAGAGATGCTTGAATGGACCGACAGCCAACTTCCTCATGATCCAACTGTGCTGACACCAGAGCCCAAAGAGGAGCCACCTAAGCCCGCTACAGTGGAAGCCAAGGTTGAGGAGCCAGCCAAGCCAACAGTGGAGGCCACTGTTGAGGAGCCAGCCAAGCCCGCTACAGTGGAGGCCACTGTTGAGGAGCCAGCCAAGCCCGCTACAGTGGAAGCCACTGTTGAGGAGCCAGCCAAGCCCGCTACAGTGGAAGCCAAGGTTGAGGAGCCAGCCAAGCCCGC